CTAATAAATATTGCTATGGCTAATTACAAAAATATTGGAAAATTATCACCTCATATAATTTATAAAATAGAAATTAAATTACAGTCATAACTGTCGCTGTAATTGTTGACATGTAAGCGGCCTTTAGTTCGATGAACTCTCATGTCCTATAACGATTTAATCGATTTTTAATCTAATTCTCGCTCACATGAAAATGAAAGACTTTAAAATTAAATTTCATCGCCTATTTATTGGTTCCTCTATAGAGAAATTTTCAAGGAAAACAAATGAAATTCCAGAGGAGCGGGGCGAACGCCGGAATAGAGGGGGGGGGGCTGACCTCATGACCTTTCCAGTATTCACTCATAGCCTTATCGACGCCTACCAGCTCCTCTCTACGGATAAATATAAATATTTACTCCGAATTTAGCCAATCGCTAATGACTAATTCAATGGAACGACTTTCCATTTCCATTGTGTACTGATTAGGTTTTGTCATTCATTGTTCGGTGTTGCATAACAAACCTCTTTGCGAATTGAGATGAAAAGTTTTTATATTTTTCAGTGAAAGATCTAATAAAGTTTTATCTTCTCTATGATTGAATGATTAGAATTATAGTAACAGTTTCAGGATTTTTTAAAATAAAATCTTTTATAAAACACAGGTTGTGCAATAGACATTACGATAATTATATCGAGAATAAACACTTTGCGAGGAATTCTCAACATTCATTTTTTTTTTGTATAAACTCAATTTGTTAATGATTTTTAAAAAAAAATCAAACTTAAGGAATTCTGAACGCGTATATTGCATCAGTAACAGGCAACTAGGTTTTCGGGTTAACAAGTGTTTTGATTGCTCAGTACTGAAAGTAGGGAAGTTTTGTATTCGTGAGGGAGGTTGAAAAAATGTTCGTGCTCAGAATCGAAAATTTCCACTCGTGTTTTACGTTTCAGACATTAAGAATCAAATGATGTCTGTCTGCCTGTCAGTCTCTAATCTATCTGCCAGTCTGTCTAGTCAAATCGATGTTAAGGCCCATATCACTACCCAATTTTCATGAAAACTTCAGTGCCTGGTTGGTGTTTTTTTTTTTCTATTAAATTAAACTTCATACCGCACTTCCGCTTGGTCATGCGCAAATTTATTTTTCTAAACGGCTCGTTTGATTTGGCTCAAACTTGAAAGGTGGGTATAATTAAAATAATGATGCTGTATCGATTTTATTGAATTCCGTCCTCTAATTTCTCTTATACGGGGTATTCAGGGTTAAGTGACCAAACTGCAAAAATGAACTAAGGACCTCAAAACAAGAAAAAAAATTCCTCTGAAGGTATGTCCGCAAACACTTAGTTTAGGAGATATTCACACTTAAAGATTTTCGTTGTTATGAATTATTTACGTTATATAAAATAAATAAAACCTATTTATTTGTTCTAACTACTTTATTAATTGAATTTAAGCATTACCGTTCGTATTAAATGTTGTTCAAAGTGATTTCCTTGAGCATTAAGACAGGCTCGACATCTTTCTTCAATAGCAGCAGTGGCCGAATAGGTGCTGGTATGTGTTGCTGTTTCAGAACATTCAATTATCCTTCTTCTTAAGAAATTAGTGTCATTGACCTTAATTTAATTGATCAGTTAAATCAATTTGTACAAATTTATTGGTTACAACATTCTCTAGCCTGTCATATAAATATAAATCATCATATATCATATAAATATATAAATAAATATATAAATATATATAAATATAGTAAATATAAATCAGCCTGTCGAATTGTCATATAAATCTGTGTAGAATGCAAATAAATTAGCATTTCGCTACGTGTAAAAACTTAAATGTTTATGTTATTATATTTTTCATAGATTCATCTTATAGAACTATTTCTCGTCTTACCAAGCATATTTCAAATCCATGAAACATTTATCTAAATTTTAAAAAATTGAAAATTAAGAGAATAGTTTTGTTGTACCATTAGCTGACACTGTTTGATTTGAAATGTTCCTATAGCTGACAGAGATGAGAAAAAAGATATAATTAAGAGAAATTTCATATTTTTCCCTTTAAGATTAATAAAAATTGCCTTTAATTTATTATAAAACGAACTTCTTGCGTTTCCCGTCTTAAATTTATCGATAAATACTGGTCACTGTCAAGAATCTGTTTTAGACAATATAGAAACCTATTTTTGCTTTATGTTTAATCCAAATAATAAGCAATATTTTTTTTTTGACAAGATAGTAGTGAATGGTCCCATAAAATATCTAATTCCTTTATCAAGACAAGTTAAAAACAGATAATACATAATTTATAAACGCTCCAAAAAACAATCACAAAAAAATTTTGATTATATTCCGTAGTACAGACCCCTCGAATTATTAACATCCGCCTGAAACTTCGTAAATAGTTTCATCTCATCGTAACCTACAACTATTTTATTTACAAAAACTTTTGGAATTGGGGCGTTTTCATTCTGGAGATGAGAAAACGTTGTCTATTTAAGTAGGTACTAAAAACTCGTAAGTACCCATTTGCTTTCTACTTGGATCGTAAGATAACTTGAGCACAAAATCGAGAAAAAAAGTTGGACTTCAAAAATATTGAGCCGTTTGTCGTGACCTACACCCCGAAATTGTCAAAATAACGAGATTATATATGACAAATGGCCCCATAATTTTGTATGCCACAATTTTAATCGATTTTGAGATCAAATTATCTTACGATCCAAGTGGAAATCAAATAGATATTTACTAGTTTTTAGTACCTAATTAAATAGACTAAGTTTGCCCCTCTCCAGATTGAAAACGCCCCAATTCCGAGAAGTTTCGTAAATATAATATTTTTAGGTTACTATAAGATGAAGCAATTTACGAAATTTCAGCCGGATGTTAATAATTTGATAAAAAGGGGCCTGTACCGTCTAATAGCTGAGGGAAATGAGAAAAAGTATGTAATTAAAAGAAATTTCATATTTTTCATTTTAAGATTAACAAAAGTTATATTTAATTTATTATAAAACTAACTTCTTACGTTTTTCAACTTAAATTTATCGATAAATACTGGTCACTATCAAGAACCTGTTTTAGGCAATACAGAAACCTATTTTTGCTTTATATTTAAACCAAATATATAGCATTTTTTTTTAACAAGACAGTAGTGAATGGTCCCATTAAATATCTAATTCCTTTATCAAGATAAATTACACGATACACTTTTACAATGAAATTCAATCTCTATTATAACTATAGCATTACTATTTATTTCTGAGAAAAAAAAATTGTTATTTAATAAAAAATTGGTTCGTTTTAAATTTTAATTGTCTTCATGTATATTTATTATAATTTCTCTCAGTTATTCTGTCACATTTAATTACTTTTATTATTTTCATGTATTTATTGTAAAAAAAATTTAAACTGATTTATTTTTATACCTTTCCTTTTTTTCTCTAAGGCTATCATTCATTACATGAAACAAAAGAATTTACTGTTTCTGAATCTGACTCTGTTATTAATTAGGATTCCTTCAAGGGCCTGTCAGCATCCTATATCTTCCTTTATCTTCCTCCCTCTTTGACTACAGATGTCTCTTGCGTGGAGAAATTGCTTGATGCGTATTAGATGAAACTGAAGAGAGATTAATGAATTTCTTGATAAGATTCATGGGGCGCGCAGACACTCTCATATCTCTTGCTTGGATTTCCAGCCAGAGTTACTTTCTTTAAATTTTCTGACAGAATGGATATGTTCTTAAATTCACCGCCGAGTACATCGATGCCACCGAAAAACCATCAGTGGCAACCATCAATGTAATTCAGCGTTTCTTTATTCTTGGATGTAACCTCATTACAATTTATGATATTTATCAATTTACTGTACATATTCATCCAGTTTTCTTCTTATCTATGGTTATTTGTGTTTTGAAATTGAACAGGTAGATACTTCCTCATTTCTTTTTTAATCTTCCAGTAGTGTTAATCTTTCGCTGGAATCCAGCAGAGCGTTCTTAAACCCAGCATAAATCTTTATTCATCGGTGCTGGATTCAATCGATTGATGGATTCCATTGATGGCAGTAGCGTTGAGTTAAAGAACCTGTCCTACTTTCTTCTTGCTATATCTCCACATATATTATTACAGTAAGGCTCGAAATCGTTTTGTACCAAATATAAGCTCCTATCATGCTCAAATACCATGAATGGGGTACCGCTGGATTCAGAATTTTACGGGGGGTTAGCGAATCGTAGTCTCAAAAACAAAAACAAAAGTGTTTTCTTTCTAAAATAAATAAAGTCGATACAAACTTTTTGCTAGGCTTCAATACTGAAACTGTGGTAGGTCTGTAGATCGATGCGGGACTAATTGGACCTTGAAGATTTTGATGCGTACAGCAAGACCCGGAACTATCGGATTCTGCGTTTTTAAGCCCAAACACGTACTATTTCCGAGATAACGCAAGGCATGGGGTTCCCATCCACACAACCTGACGTTAATTGTAGTACTGTCATTGAATACATGTCTCATTTCGTCGACTTGAGGTCTCTATGATCGAGAGAGGAGGAGTTTATATTATTTGTCGATGGTGTTTTTGATCGGCAAGCCATATCATCGTTAATTCTTCACCAAATCTCAAGATTGAGCCACCGATTTCGAAGGCTTTCTTCTCCTCCAGGCGGGCAAAATAGTCCAATCACCCCGAAAATTCAGGCAAACAAGTTATGAAAGAAAAAAAACTTTATTTGCGAATAACTAAAAAATTACACACTTTTCCCTGGGTTATTCCAATGATTATATAAAACATTTCTAAATTATCTACAAAAGGGAAAAAATTCATTGAAATCGGATATTTTTTCTTAAAGATACAGCATATTGAAATTTGTAAATATGTTGGTTCCAAACAAAAATGAAGATTTAAATTATTTTTTTTTCCTTTGTCGATTATATTTATCGATAAAGTAACCATTGATTCCTTTATATTTTGATACGTTGCATTATTTTATTTTTTTATTAATTTGGCATATGATAACAATATGCTGTGCGAATTTTGCGTACGGGCCTACTAGTTTTTTATTATTTCTCAAAGGTATTATTATTATTACTTTTACCACATCTCTGTCAATTCTTCATCAAATCCAGTGATTGGACCATTATTTTTCTACTTCAGGTGGGTTGTTAAGGAAAGGAAACTTTACTGGCGAGTAAGCCAAAAAGCATACCTACTTTTTTTTTTATTGATTATATTAATAATTATTTGAAAGATCTCTAAATTCCTTATAAAACATACAAAAACCATTGAATTCGATCCATTATGTGCTGAGATACAGGTTATTGTAATTCATAAACATTTTGGTTATATTATGAAGTTTTATAATAATTTCCTTTTCCTTGATAGATAACCATTATCGAAAAAATAGGAATGATTCCTTTATGATACCGATCTACGGGGGGAGGGGTTTTAGGAATGAATCCCCTCCTCCCGTAAAATACAACCATGTTTTATGAAAAAATTTATCTCTAAAATTATTATTGTTGTTCTAATTTAACAGGACTTAAATAATCACTTAAACATCATTTCATATAGGTAGTTAGCTTCTTTCTTAATATATACATACAAAAAAAAATTTCGGGCTGAAGCCCCATCCCAAAATTAAATCCTGGCTGGATCCGTTAGTGGCACGGACTAATTAGTTCCAATTCTTAAAATCTTTCCCTTTATTCTGCATCACATGTTTAATAGTGCTCAGAATTATTATATTTATAAGTATGACTTATTAATTTATATTTATATTGATATAATTTTTATTTTTTCTTAGAGTAATATTTTTAAGGTTTATTAATCATATTTACTGAAAGTAGAACACAGCATTTTTTTTTTTTTTTACGAATTCTAATATTAGAATAGAGAAAATTAAGAAATTCTATAGGTGAATCATAACTTCCTTGTAACTGTTGTGTATTTTTTTATTTATTACTTGTCTTTAGATTTATAAAATGTTTCTGAAAATTATTATCCATCATCAGAAACATATTCACTATTGTTAGATCCTACTGTACCATTAAAGATCTAATCTTTACGAATATTTTTCCTACTTTACTACATTTATTATCTTATATACTTTATCTTTATGCTTTCCAACCTATATTAGGTAAGGAAAGTATTGCGATCGGGTCAAATTTTTGACATGCGATTTTCGACGGATCTACACGTTTCAGAGCCGAGTCCGAAAAACACATATTCAGCCATTGATCTGTCCGTCTGTCTGTGCCATGATTATCTCGGGAACTAGTCGAGAGATTTAGTTGCTTCTTTTTATATTTTGTAGGGTTTTAACTAATAATGCATGTGACAAAAATTGGATGCTCCCTGCGCAATAAGTGAAAAATATATTTTTCTCTAGACTGTAGAGTTCTAGACGAAATGGCCCTAACGATTTTGATGAAACTTTCCTATAATTTTCTAATTAATGTAATTTCAATTTTTGTACGTGCACTAAATTCTCGAGAAAATTCAGGAAAAAAGTTATAAAGAAAAGAAAAATGTTTTGGGGCCAAACTCACCAAGTATGTATTCTATGGTAAAATTTATATAAAAACTTTTGAAAGGTTGTTAAATTACCTACAAAACAAACAACAATTCATCGGAATCGAACCAGTATTAGCGATAACACAGCGTATTCTATTTTCAAACACGTGTTTTAATGAAACATGGTAATGAAATTCCCTACAAAACTTTATAAAAATCGTTCATTTTGGACAACTATTTACGAAGTTACAGCTATTCAATTTCGTATGTAAGATTACGCGTTCATATTCTGATGTCAGGAAGGGATGAATGAGAGGAAAATGAAAAGTAAGAAAATCTGTTGCCCGCATCACACAAGTTTCATATTCCTCTCGACTTTTAACAGAAATTATTGTTTGACAATATTGTGCTAAGGTAAAAAAATTATAGCTAATATTAGAGAGTATTGAATTTTTTACGATGATCTTTCACAAGCCGGTTTATGTTGCTTTAGTATGTCAAAGAAATCGTACTCAAATCTTTTCTTTGATCAATTTTCAATAAAATAAATCTAATTCAATTTTCTTTTTCTTAATTAACATATTTAAAGATATAAAACTTTTCTGAAATAGGTAGGAAAGTCGTGTGAGTGGACACACCAGATTTTTTATTGTCTCTTTATAAAATATTTTAGTTAATTTTTCATAATTTTACGTATTCAGAAGTTATTATTTCTCTTTGTTGATGACCAACAATTAGTTACTTCTAAGAATGATTGTACTTCGTTGGACTCTCTATACTTTAATCTTTCATTCATAGACTAATTTGACAGCTATTACAATTGGTTTATTATTAACAAAAATCTTTATGTATTTACCACTAATTTATTAACTAATACAAGTTTTTTTGTTATTGATTGATACAGGAGAAGACATTATCGGTGGAGAGTTTTCAGAGCCTTATGTACGCCTTAGCCTTGAACCGCCAGTTGACTCTAGAGTGAGACAAACTGGAGCTCAGTCGAGATCAACCCCTATCTTTGATCATCATTTCAAATTTCCAGTTTCTCATGATGAACTGCAAGAACACTCACTAGTCCTTCAAGTAATAATGATCATTTATCATCATGAATAAAAGAAATTTTATTACAAAAAATAAATGAAAAATGATACTGATAAAGGGGTGATCGGTATACTGTAAAAGAGGAAATATTACACCATAGGGAAGTTCCAAAACTAGAATGATTTCTTTGGTTATTTAAGAACCAATAGAATGACTGACTCGGGAATGACTTCTCTATAAAACTAGAAGATAATTATCTTCTTTTTTTCTTGTCCGCACCTACCTCGCCTTTTAGGCTACATGAGTTTTCCCAGGCCAGGATGAGAGGGGGAATGAATACCAGAGTTAAAAGATCCCCCCATACTGGGACCCCTTACCTAGAACTGTATCTAGAACCCCTAGAACTATTTTATATCTAATAAACTTCAGTTCATAAATCATCTGGTTGCCAAGTAACGCGTGTTTTACCTGTGTAATGCCTTTGCATTAGTCCACTTGGCCCTGGAGATAATTATCTATAAACTTAAAAGTTGTTTCTGGAATTCGGTAACAAAAAATTGGATTTTTGGACTAACGTTACCCAAGGTAGAAAATTTCCCCCTTCAGAGTACCATTGGGATATGTTTAGAAATTTATTACACTATTATAATGTAGATTTAATATAAAAAAATATAAGAGATATCGAAAACTATATCTAATGTATTTTTGTTAAAATATAATTTATAAACATATATTTAAATATTGTGTCCAATGTCTTTTATTTAAATAGCAATGGAATTTACTATCTCTTTAGAAATTTAAATTAGTAACACAAGTAATTATACGCATTATTCTTATCATAAACTTAAAACTCTTAGCAGGGTAAATTAGAAAATAATGATGGAAATGAAATATTTACGATCCAAACCACGGGTAGTCGCTATTATTGTTATAATTACAAGACACTGAAAGTTTAATACATTATTGTACCAATTACATGACGCCAGCTATTTTATACTCCAATGAAACAAATACATAAATTGTGCCATATATTAACCCTACAATATCTTGCAATTAAATTAAATTATTCTTTTTCAGGTTTTTGACTATGACAGATATTCACGAAATGATATTATTGGAGAGTTGAGAATAGATTTGGCAGAAATCGAGTTGACCTCAAATGTTGAAATATGGGGTGATATTTCAAAAACTAAAAAGGTATTAATATGTTACAATTAAAATGGAAATAATAATCAATAAATATAAAAATAGGTTACTCTAATTTCTAATATGGTTGTAATCGCATAGATTAATTAATTTCATTAAACTGTATTCTAATTAATACATTATTAAGATTATATATTTATGTAGTACATATTTAAATATAAATATTTTGAACTATATTTAGCCATGATCATTTTATAATGTTTGCATTCATTTAAGCCTCGAGAAGAGCTCCAGGAAATTTTGGTCTCATTGAGTTACCTTCCTTCCGCCGAGCGCCTGACTGTAGTGCTTTTGAAGGCAAGAAACCTTTTCCTGCCAGAAACCAGAGATTCCATTGGTTCGTATAAATTTTTAAATATTGAGTTTATTTACCTATTACATAATGAAGTAATTTTTTTTTTTTTTTTGGTTCAGATCCATTTGTAAAAGTTTACTTACTTGCTGGAGGAAAGAGAATTAAGAAAAAGAAAACCGCATGCAGGAAAGCAAGTTCTAATCCTGTTTGGAATGAAGCTATAACTTTTAACATAAGTTCTGCCAACCTTAACTGCTCTGCTGTCGAGGTTCGTATTTTTATTATTTCAAATTTTAATCTGTTCTTGAAATATTTAGTCACTAATGTTTATATCCTTCAAATCAATTCTTCCTTCATACATTCTTCTTTTATAATAACCAGAACCAACAGCTCTAGCCCTTATCAAATCCAAATGAAATAATTCTCCAAATAATATATACTTGGATACAAAACTTTTTTTTTTTGTATAATGATTCTAAAATGTATGTTTTCTTCTATGTTCTTAAATTACCAAAATATGGGTATATAATCATTTAATCAGCTGAAATTTGGAAAAAAAAAATAATGGATAATAATGAGAAGTTACGAGGATCATTGGTAAGATGTCAGTGATAGATCTGAAGAAAACTTTAATTTTTAATTTTAATTTTTACTGTTATTGCAATCTCCAACTAACTTTCCAACTGTAAAAAAAAATTTGTTCTGTAGTTTTGAAAAACGCAAATTATTTTATTTGTATTACATTCTCATGAAATATAAAACCTCAAATTTCGAGAAAGTAATTTTTAAAAAAAATAGATTGATTACAAAGATTTATTATAAAAATAATAAACCAAATTAAAACATCATAGTCAACTAGGTTACTTACAAGATTTCTGTGAGATGACTAACCAAGTCTAATGACTAACAAATTACTAGCAAGAAAAAAATCAAGCAGATCACTGAAACTAAATCCTTCCTCTTATCTTGTATGTTTTCTAAATATTCTTTTTTATAATTATAGCATAAAATTTTGATATAAATAATATTATGTTAAAGGTAAACACAATTAATAAATACTAATATAAGCTGATTTCTGATTTATAGGTCTGTGTTCTGGATCAAGGATCAGATCTTATCGGAGGGCCTTCTTTGATTGGTTCTGTGGTCATTGGTAGCACTGAAGGAGGAGCTGCAAGCTCACATTGGTCTGAAATGATTTCAAGTCCCAGGAAGGCAGTAGCGATGTGGCACACTCTGCGATAACTCTGAAGGTATATATTGAATGATCTGCAGAATGAATGAATGAATGAGTGAAAATCTGCAGCAAATATTTAATGATATATATAATATACTAGTTGGCCCCGTGTGAATAATCCGCACAGTACAGTTAATGTTCAAATGACAAATTAATAAGAAAAAAAAAAAATGCATTGTATCATAAGATTGAGAAATCAATTCTTGTTTTCTTGCTAACTATAATCGTCAGAAGAAATGAAAATTAATTTAAACTTCATTCATGTTTTGAACCAACGTGTTTATATAAGCTGTATCTTTGATAATAATAATCTGATTTTGATGATTTCTTTTTTTTTTGGAAATTGAATTTAATAATCTTTTTAATAATTATGGGTGCAATTGACATAAAAATGTATACTTTTTGAGTTATTCACAAATGAAGTTTCTTTTTCTTCATAACTTTTTTCCTGAAATTTAAGGGCGATATAACTATTTTTCCCACCTGAAGAAGAATGAAACCTTCAAAATTATGGTAAATCTTAGGATTTGATGAAGAATTAACGAAGATATGGTGTACCAACAAAATAACACCTTTAATAAATAATATAAACTCCTCTCTCGATGATAGGGACCTCAAGCCAATGGCATGAGACATGTATTCCATGGCAGAAATAAAATTAATGTGAGATTGTGTGGCTGTAAACCTTTTACTTTACATAAACTTGAAATTGGTACATTTTTGGGTTTGAAAATGCAGCGTCCAATCTTGGTGTCCGCATCAATATCTTCATATTTATCCCGTATCAATCCATCAACTTATCTCTGTTCTAGTATTGAAGCCTCCCTCTCTCCATGAAATTCTGAATCCAAGGATATCCCATTCATGTCATTTGAGCATTACAGGAGGATATATTTGATACAAATCTGATTTCAAGCCTCACTGTAATAATATACCTAGTTCTGCTATAAATACTGTTACAAAGGTAAATTTTGTTTACATTCTTGGATATTTTTAGATAATCCTTACCTTTATTCGGTTATTTTCTTTACATGTCAAATAATAATCCCAATTAGTTTATATTTTTCGTTAGCTGAGTTATCATGGAGTGGGGTGATAAAGAAAACTGAATATATGTTATCACCTTACACAAAGTTGGAAAATGTAGGTCAGAGATTTTCAACACTTAAAAATCTTTGTGTATCAGCCGTATGTTTGTGTACTGCACTATAAATAGATATAATGAGTCGTCATACCGTATTCTAAAACCTTTTTTATGTTTAAAAATAAAATATTAGTATTTATATTTATTACTATTGTATACAATTTCACTCTCTTATTTCAGGTTACCACAGATGTCAGAAAATGAACAATGTGAATATGGCATTGCTTCAGCGTATCATTGATTCAAGACCTAATTTGGATAAAATAGTTCATTGGGCCTAGTGTTATTCGGCAGTGCTTCTGTCACATATTTACCAACTCGTAATTATTAATTGTTATTAATAAAAATAAAAAAATGGAACATAAACAAAATGAGAATTATAAGCATGAAGCTGAATCTCCAAATTAATATATAAATGTTATCCAAATATTATCATATATATAATAAAATTATTATTAAATTATTGTTGTAAGCCTAATTATTAATGTTGCTATGTTTTTGATGTGATGTAAGATAAATTTATAAAGTATCGATGCTATAAAGAAAAATACTGTGTTCAAGAACTGAAAAGATTGTTATAAGTAAAAGATTTTTTTTAATATTTTGATTTCAAATCACTTTATGAATATGTTTCCTACAAACTTCACCATACTATCTTAAGGCAGAAAATATTCAATATTAAGTTTTAGTCTTTTTTTTTTTACAAATTAAAATATAACTATGATTTATTAAATAGCTAGAAAAAACAAAAATATAACAAGCATTTGTTGTTATATATTATAATAAAAGATAAATTAATACATAAGCCTATATAAATAATTCAATGAATTTTTTTATATTTAAGATAGCAGTATTTTTGTGATAAAGAATGACTTGATATTTATGTTTAAAATGAAATGTAAGTCGCTTTATGCACTCTGTGTTAAGTAATACACACAAACATATAATATAATAAATTATTCGCATTTTGTATGGTACAAGTAGCACATATCATAACTGGCATGTTTGTTTATTACATAATTAATTATAAATTTGTTTAACAATTGAGAAACAGTTTATATGTATTTTATAGTCAGATGTAAATATAGTCTTACAATTACAGGCTTTGAACTGTGCCTGCCGTCCACGGTTTTCTTTGGGTCATTCAAACATAATGACGTGTGCAAAGAGAAAAAAAAAAATAAGAACCATTACTAAACGCTTAAACATTTCAGGAATTAAAACAAATAGTTTATGTATAAATATGCGTCAATTAAAGTGATGTATGGAAAAAATAGTTGTATTTTGACAAATGTAAATTGAAAATTTTAATCTTTATTGTTCTTTGTATGCTTCTAATGAAAAAAAAATGTATATAACTTAATTGTTTAGGTGTACTGGCAGTGTATATTTTTATAATGTATATCGGCTGTCATGTATTAAAATTCATAATTCTATAAGATTGTAAGCTTTTAAAGCTGACAATATTTCATTAAACGGTTAAACGATTATTCATTAGTTCAGATATTTTTTTTCTATTGTATCTCACTAAGTGATAAAATATTCAGAATTTATTCTAACTTATATTACTAAAATGATCAGCTGAGATATACTTAAATATATTAATATATTACTAATTATTATTGGCTGAGATAAACTTAAAAACATATTTAATGTTATGAGTAGTGTCATTGCTATATTGGAAGAAGACAGACATAACTCAAAAATCAAATTGTTTTCATCCTTTGGATAATCATAATCATCTTGTTGATTATGATTACACAAAAGTGAAAAATCATTATTTTTTTAGTTTTGACAGCTAAAGGATTGATATATAAAAATTTATATACATTATGCACACATATATATATACACTCACAATATATACACGATACTAATCTATTAATAGTTAATTTTAAGTTGTGTCAGCCATCTTCCAAGCTAGAGATATGTATTTTATACCAAGACTGCATTTTTGCATGATGAGACTTTTATAATTTCAAAAACAAAACCAAAAACACTTTTTTAAAAACAATATTTAGGTTTATATAGTCTACTATCAAATAAAAATTTTTAAATTAGAAAAAACTTTAAAGGAATAATTTTATTTAATATGCCTCTGAAATAATAAATTGTTACTATTAAACAGTTAAAATCTTAAGAGACAGCCTAGTAATACTGTTTCATGTGAAATAAAAAAAAAAAACCTATTCCATTATAACAGAATTACTGGTTAAATAAACCAAAAATCCCATTACTTCAAAAAATAAGAATGTTAACTTTTATTCTGAATCAACTAAAGTTACATTTTATTTAAAAAAGTGAATTAAACTATTTGTAAATATCAATATGGGCCTCAGCAAATAACAAAGGAGAATATATGATAACTGAAAAAAAAAAACTCATTCTTCCCGCACATTCCATTAGGCCTCAAAAACAAATTGTTAGGATATTAATCCTTATTTTTTATATAGGTAAAAGCATTTTGAATAAATATAAAAGTTTAATTATATTTTTGCCATTTATTAACAATTATACTATTACATGACGAATTTTAAAATAGAAAGCCCCTTAAAATACATTTCTTTATTTCAGGGTGTCAGAATAAATGTATTTGATCTGTAACCCATTTTTGTGATTATTTTCAAACTGAAAAGAAGTGCTCAATGTGTAATTGAGGGATTTGAATATTCAAGTTAACTAAACGGTAATTTTTGAATGAACAGTAATTTAAATACTTTTAAATTTATCAATATTCTGTTTAAAAAAAAAAAATGTTAACATATTTTGAGACTAATTTATTCTTTCAATAAATATTTTCATAAAAGTTGGTAGCTTGTTCTGAACATTGGCAATGATTTTATGTTAAATAGTAGATATTTTGTTTGCATGAGCAGTGAATTTACTATGAAGGATTAAAAAAGGTAGATTAGTTTTGAGCATAATTTAATAACACTTTAAGAAGATGAAAGGTCCAAAGATTCAAATTTTAAATAAATTAAAAAAGTTACACAATACTTAGTTTTACTTATAATTAAATTGAAACACCATTTTATTAACCTTAGATTTTGAAAGATGCCTCAAAACCAATAGACATTATTTACACCAGTTTTAAATAGTCTACTTGTTTGTTAAATACTCTGAAATAAAAGCTTATTTTAAGAACTCTATAGAAGTAATGGCACTTTATTGTTTTCTATAATACAGGAAGTTTAATATTTATATGCACTGCTGTTATACATCAATTCATAGTGATGAACTATTGATTATGAGTTTCTTACAAATTTTAAGAATATTTAACTGACTATATAATATTATAATGTATCACTAAGAAGGTGTATGTATAAATATATATGTATTATTAAAAAACTAATCCAAAGAATGCATTATTTCTCTTACCACAACCTTTTCATTATATAATTCAGGAAATGCACATTTTTTATTTTATATTTAGAAATATTACATTCTGTCACAATCAAGGACATTTATAATAGTGTTCAGAGAGCACACTCACACTCTATTTACAACAAATAAAAATAAATAATACAGAAACTAATAATAATAAAAATAAATGTATATAAACAAAAGAACTAACCTAATCAAAATAACAACTACAACACATGCATACTATACAATATTTACAGAATACATTCACTCAGGAGAACTCCAACCCAAGCCTTTATCCCCACTCGTGGAAGGAAAAACAGGACTCTAGGAGATCCCAGCGCCTCACACTGAGCCGCATTACTGGTATTAAGAACCAGTTGAAGCTGAGGAGAGGCGCAAAATGCACATTTAAAGTATAATTTTAACAGACTCCATATTTCATTAACAGACCAAAAAATTTTACCGTATCATCAATTTGGATTTCGATCATTACATTCCACTCAACAGTTAAACAGAGTCACAGATTACATAGCAACTGTACTAGAGCAAAAGATGTATGCAACTGGTGATTTCTGGAAGGTACAAAGGCATTAGATAGGGTCTGGCACCAGGGATTTCTTTATAAACTCAAGAAAATACTTCCATGCACCAGGGGTGCCCATCCCCCCCCTCTTAAGAACAATGGTGCATAATCCCTCCACCCCTCCTCCTAAGATATTTGATTTACCTTCTCTTCTTAAAAACAGTTCAATCTAAGGTAAAATTTTAAGAATCATAGGTCTTATACAATTACAGTTTAAGTGGTTTGTACTATGTTTTTTTCTTGTCCACTGGTTTGAAACTTTTCAATCCTAAAATTCATAAGCCCGTCGAAATGTACCATACTCAAAAATTCAAACCTCTTCAAAATGTGCCCCTCTCAAAAATGTTGATGTAATCTTCCACATACTATCTCATAACCCCAAAAGTGTAATGCACAAAGTGGTAGTGTGTCTACAAAAAGATCTAGTAGTTTCTGATAAATAAAGAAAACAAATAATATAGGCTTTAATGCAAGACAGAACCCTATTGTATCAACAAAAAGACAGCTGCCGAAACTATTATCTAGAAATATTAAAAACAATTACATTTAAATTATATTTGTACCAGTCCGTAATGAAAAGGAAATGTTAAAATAGATTATGAGCAGAGAATTAAATTAATGGATCCCAAATACCCCTTCAATTGTTCTATCACTATTAAGGAGTTTTGAGATTTTAAACAGAACATACATTATAAATACACGTTATCATAAAAATGGCAATAAGAAAGCATGCAATAGTACTCACATGTTTTTATTGGCGATTCAACGAAGTTCTCCAACTCACTC